TGAGGTTCCCTATGCTCAGGATACCACCCAGCGTCTCAGTCAGCTTTCTGTCGCCTTTCTGTAAGATGTAGGACTCTCAGCTAGTTCTCCAGGACCATGTATGCCTGCATGCTGCTATGCTCCCTCCTATGATAATGGACTGAACCTCTGAACTGTAAGTGAGCCACCCCAAGTAAAGATTTTCCTTTATAAGAGTTGTCATAGCTGGGTGGTGGTGGTGGTGACATATGCTTTAATCCTAGCACTCGGGAAGCAGAGTTAGGCAGATCTCTGAGTCTGAGGCCAGTCTGGTCTACAGAGTGAGTTCCAGGACAGCCAGTTACATATAGAAATCCTGTCTGGAAAACAAAACGAAACAACAACAAATCAAAACAAAACAAAAGAGTTGTCATGGTCATGGTGTCTCTTCATAACAATAAAAACACTAAGACAGTCATCTCTGAAACAACATCAGGAAGGAAGATATGTTTTGGTTCCTGGGTTCCTGGTTTCATCCATTCGGGGCAGAAAATCTCACCTCATGGCAGAAGCAAGTAAGGAGCAGGTACGACCTTTAAATTCCTGCCTCCTCTCTCCTACTTCCTCTAGCCAAACCCCACCTCCTGCATTTTCTACCACCTCCTCAGATAGTGCTACCAGCTGGGTAGCATACGATTCTGTGGGAGACACTTCATAGTCAAACTCCAACATTCTGCCTCTGGTTCCCAAGGTCAATGCCATCTCATAAGGTAAAATGAATTTAGTCTATCTGCAAGAGCCTTTTAGGTCTTAAAAATTCTAACAAGTCTAAAATTTCTTCTAAGACTCAAAGCAAGCTTTTTAGCTGTGAGCTCCTGTAGAAACGAAAGCAGGGTACACATAGCCCCCAAATGTAGAGCAGAGAGTAAACATTTCCATTCCAAAACCAGCGGTAATGATATAGGACTGAAACCCAGAAGGAGAAACAAAGATTGGATCTGAGCCATACCCTGCCATGTCCTCTCTTAAGGGTTGCAGCTGACCCACTGCTATGGCCCTGCCTGATGCAGTCTACATGGACTCTTACATTGGCTGGATCTGCTCATCGCTGTCAGCTTTCCTCAATATTTGACATTCCTGGAACGTCCGGGGTCCCTGTGGGATTTCTACTGAGTCTTTGGCTGCACACATCTGCTCTGGGGATGCTGCAGGCCTTCAGACCCTGTGACCGATCACTCGGCTCCTTGGGCCTTCTTTTGAAGTCTGGGGGGACACCACTGTGACCTCACAGCTTTTGAATTCTGCATGCCTGCAAAACCAGCATCTTGTGGGTGATGCCAAGGCCTGCTGACAGCTTGACTGGCGGTTGGGGAGCACTAGGTACAACTGCAGTGGCTTCTGGGTACGTAGATGGCTGAAGGCAAGGAAATATTTCTCTAGGCAGTCCTGTGTGAGCAGGTACGTTGGAGCCCTCTTCTCAAAGTCTTCCCTATCAGCTGAAACTTTGTCCCCTTGAACCAGAGCTGGATGGAGTCTGGCCAATCCATGAGATGGTCAGGACATCTTTCCCATTGTCCTAATGCAGAAGTACTTGGCTTATTTTAAGGTACAAATCTCCTTCACAGCATCATCTTCCTTGACCTCGATTTTAAATGTACTCAGTTTCTTGCCAAAATGGATGATTTTCAAATTTTTTGTTCTTTTTTAAAAAAAGATGTATATTTTTTAAAAAAATTATGTGTGAGCATTCACGTGTGTGTACATGTGAATAGGCACATGTATTTGAGTGCAGATACTCATGGAAGCCAGAAGAGAGTTTGCATCCCCTAGAGCTGAATTTACGGGTAGTAGGTGAGCTACCTGCTGTGGGTGCTGGGAACCTAACTTCGGTCCTATAGAAGAACCGTGTATGTTCTTAACTGCCAAGCCATGACTCCAGCCTCCGCTTTCTGGTCTTCTCTTTTCTCTCGGTTCTCTCTACTAAATTGACTGAAAGCAGCCACTGAATCCCACCCATGATAGCTCAGGCCTGCAATCCCAGCCCTCTGGGAGGCTAAGAGAGGAGGATTTTGAGGAAGGAGTTCAAGGCCAGCCTGGACTCCACAGCAGAACCCTGTCTCAAGTCTTCTACTTGCAAGAATCTGTATTTCTGCTAGCTGTGTCTCAGTAGACGGACAAGAGGGAGACACGTTTCCTTCTAGATATGACATGCACAGCAGAGTTACTGCTCCCACCTGAGACCCAAGCACAGCCTTCACTGTGCACACCCCTTGGCATTCTGATCTTCCGAGCGCCACCAGAATCACCCACAGGCATTGCTGACAGCACTCTAAGCCTTCTCCAGCCTGCTTCTCCAAATGTTTCCACATTCCTCCCACAAGCCAAAGGCTTAAGAACCACATGGTGAGGTTTAATCACAGGAACAAACCATTTCGCTGGCACGGAGTTTCTGTGTTAGAATCTTCATTGCTTTGGAAAATATTCGAGAGAAATAAGAGAGGAAAGATCTATTCTGGCTCAGGGAATCAGAGGATTCCATCTGTTATGGTGGAAGGGTGAAGGGCAACAGCCCGTGTGATGGTGGCCAGAGTGATGGAGGAATTGTGGGCCAAGTATTGGCTTCTAAAGCATACCTCAGTGACCCACTTCTCTGGCTCAGCTCGACGTCCTGAAGTTTCCAGCGCTTTCTGAAACAATACTGCCAGTTGGGACTAACATATGAGCCTGCAAGACCCATTTTGTATTCAAACATCACACTATTGCACCTCATTTAGAAGTGACATTTACCCTCATTGTTACCACGTGGCTGATACACCTCCAGGCATCGAGTCTTCTTTCCAGGGAGGAAGAGATATGAAGAGCAAAAAGAGTGAGTGAGCCACTCCCTGGCAGGAAAATAAAACACAGCCCTGGAAGGCTCATGCGGAGGGCTCTGCTCAGGTGGTGGCTGCAGGAGGCTGCGCAGTGAGCACCCCAAACTAGAAGGTGTGAGGATTGTGGGAGAGGGGGGGTCAATGAGCTCATGGCCTGCTTTAAACTCTCCTAGGGTAAGTTATCATGACAGACAGACACCGTAACATTCCCAGGACATTGTGGCTTATTCCGAGTGTATAATCATGACCTTGTGTTTATTGAGACGCAGCTATTAAGCTATTGGCTGTCTTAATTGGCACTGAAGTTTGCTTTAAGGTTTTTGATTTTAGGAAGGAATTTGTCTTTGCTTTTGCTTTTGTGTTTTTACCTGGTTACTAATGCTGCCAATGAATATGATGGGACAATAGACTGAATTATGACTTGTTGAGGAGTGATGATTAGGGTTTTAAAGTTTTTTTTTTTAAAAAAAGATTATGGGTCTTTATAGATCCTGGTGTGAGGGATGGATAGACACAGGACTTTGTCACACAGAGACCCTGTGAAGATGTACCCAGATCTCTGCCTCATGCACAGATCCCAGAGCAGGTGATTAGGGAGTCTTGAGCTATGCACACTTCCCTCCTCAAGAGTCTGTATCTCTGCCTGGTTGTCCCCAGTGTGTGATCTGTCAAGCAAGGTCATTGTAAGAGAGATAGTTCTCGCCGAAGCCCCGCTAGTCTTCCTCCTCTGTATCCCTTCTGTGGCTGCTTCTGATCCCCATCCAAGGCCAGCCATGAGCCCTTGCACACAACAGTAACATCTGACCCTTGGAAGGCCCTGCTCGGAGTCATCAGAGCTGAGGGGTCTGCCTTGTCTGCCGCTGGAATTCTGAGGGGCCCAGGGATGCAAGGGACTTGGCTGCAGCAGACCCTGTCTCGGCACTGTGTCTACCAGGAATGCTCTGTCACAAGTCAAAAGCAGCTCCCTCCCTCTGATGATGGGACTCCTTGACCTGCTGGCCTCACGACTGGAGAAGTCTGAAGGGACACAGTGTCAAGAGATTCCCCAAAGTTCATTGACCCTGGAGTCCAGGAAGGAGCCATCAGTCTGTGTGGAGAGGGAAGCTGGCTTCACTAATGAGCCTCACTCAGACTCAGGCCTGAGGTCTGGGCGGAAGAGGGCTCTTTGGGAAAATGGATAGAAGGGGGTGGCTCCAAGATAGAACGCTTCCCAGAGAACCGAGGGAAGAAAAAGAAAGGAGAGTCTCACTTGGACAGAGATCCTTGCGAAAGATCATGGGAGAGAGAGAGAGAGAGAGAGAGAGAGAGAGAGAGAGAGAGAGAGAGAGAGAGGCTCCAACTGAGACCCAAAGAGACAGCACTCAGTGGGTTAGCTAAGGAAGACACTGACCACGGTTCCACTTGCCAAGTTGGCATTTGTTCATATTCCAGAGTTGGAGTTTTGGGGCACTTGGGCCACAAAATCTGGGCAGTTAACAAGAGAAGGGAATGTTGACATGATAGGTCTCATTGGGGACACCAAGTACAAAATGACAACTGTCAGCAACCCATACTCCTGAGGAGGGACGTGTGCAAGGCCTGGTCCCTCATACCAGGATCTATACACAGACGCAAAGTACTGTGTCCATGCTTCACAGTGTCTGTGTGTGATAGAGCCCCGTGTGCATCCCTCCCAGGGTCTGCGTGTGATAGAGCCCCGTGTGAATCCCTCACAGGGTCTGTGTGTGATAGAGCCCCGTGTGCATCCCTCCCAGGGTCTGCGTGTGATAGAGCCCCGTGTGCATCCCTCCCAGGGTCTGTGTGTGATAGAGTCCCATGTGCATCCCTCCCAGGGTCTGTGTGTGATAGAGTCCCGTGTGCATCCCTCCCAGGGTCTGTGTGTGATAGAGTCCCGTGTGCATCCCTCCCAGGGTCTGTGTGTGATAGAGCACCATGTACATCCCTCCCAGGATCTGTGTGTGATAGAGCCTGTGTGCATCCCTCCCAGGGTCTGTATGTGGCATTCCTGTGTCTATCCCTCACATCATCATCTGTGTATAACAGTCCTGTGCCCATCTGTCATACGGTATTTGTGATAGAATCCAATGTCCACCCCTCACACTAGAGTTTGTGTGTCATAAAATCCCAAAAACTGTTTTTAATTAATTATTTTTGTGCTTTCCTTGACAGTTGCCAACAGTTCTCTAATTGGACTTAAGACTCACTGAACAAGAGAGAAACCATGTCTGATACTGGAAACCTAACTACTTGGTGCTTGTAAAATCACAGTTATTGGGGAGAATCTTTAGCCTCTCCTCTGAATCAGCATAATTCCTGACAGCACCCAATAAACACGATACCCACAGACAAGTGTGGTCCTCACCTCTCATCAAAGAAACTTCTCTTTGCACGAGACAGAGATCACTACAGAAAACCACAACAATCAAAATGCAGAGTGGTGGATCCCAGCCCAGTGCCTACATCTACAAAACACTCCCACACCTAAGGATCAGAGGGAGCGGAAAGACTGTAGGACGGAGCCAGAGGACCAGGGAGTTTGCTGTGGGATGGAGTCTCCTAAGAATGGCAGAAGCTACACCCATAATGTCTCACCAACATGACTGCAGAAACGTGAGCTGAATGAGGGCAACACCAATGGGCGTACCAAAGGGGACAGGGCAAAGCCCATGAGGTCTCCACCCTAGGCAGCTATAGAGGAAGGTGGGAGAGGTGGTCTTCCCCAGCGAAGAGTACAGCCATTGGCTGTCCAGTGCCAAGTGGTCAGCCTTGAAAGCATACTTACAAGTGACACATATGGACTAAACAGGCAATATATACACACAAAGATTCATACGCATATAATAGCTATGAATGAAAATTGGCCCTGCATTTGAATGCAAGTAAGGCAGTGTACATGGGAGGGTTTGGAGGGAGGAAAGGGAAGGGAGAGTGTGGTAATTATACTATAAACTCAAAAATTAAAAGAAAGTTAAACATTTAATTAGTTTCAAACTCCCTGTTGTAACATGAGGCCGACTTGTTGGGGTATCTGTCCCGCCCAGCACCCCACAACCGGCAAGCCCCAAAGAAAATTACACACAGGACTCCATAAAATTATGAACTGATTGGCCCATTAGCTCCGGCTTCTTGTTAGCTACTATGACTTATATTAACCCATCATTCTCATCTATGTTAGCCATATGGCTTGGTACCTTTTTCAGCTGTCAGCTCACATGTTGCTTCTTCGGTGATCTGGGCAGGAATGCAGAGGGAGCTTCCTGCTTCCTAGCCTTCTCCTGTTCTCATCGTCCTGCCCCAACTTCCTTTCTGGTTGACCAGCCTATACTTCCTGCCTGGCCAATCAGTGTTTTATTTAAATACATGATTGACAGAATACCGATAATTCTCCCACACCACCCTGTGTTGGCTAATTTTACTTCACTCTGACACAATCTATAGTCATCCAAGAGGAGGGAAACTCAATTGTGAAAATGCCTTTATAAAACTGGGCTGTAGGGCATTTTCTTAAGAGATTGATGTGGGAGCACCCAGCCCATTCTGAGTGGAACCACTCCAGGGAGGGTGATCCTGGGTCCTTCAAGAAAGCAGGCTGAGCAAGTCATGAGGAGTAAGCTAGTAAGCAGCACCCCTCCATGGCCTCTGCATCGGCTCCTGCCTCCAGACTCCCACCTTGTTTGAGTTCCTGCCTTGGCTTTCCTCAAAGGACTGTGATTCTGGATATGGGAGCTAAATAAACCCTTTCTTTCCCAAGTTGTTTTTAAAGGTCATGGTGTTTCATTACAGCAATAGGAACCCTAACTAAGACATACACCCTCAGTACCCTCTAGCAAGTCATAAATTTGTCTATGGATCCAGCAACATTGGGAAGTAGAAATGTTGGTCTCAGATAAATGGTCTCGTAGCTGGCACCAGATTCACTCTCTGATGATAAGTTTTGAACAAATACAGTAGAGTTTAAGGCATCAGTGTGCAGTCTAACACAGACAGGAAGGAAGGGGGTTAGTGCTAAGGAGAATCTGACTCACAAACCCATACAGAAGGGCAGGGCAGTTCACCTGGAGAGTCTGAGGATGGTGGTTCAAAAGTGGGAGGAAACCTAAGAAATTAGGGAGCTACAGAGGGCACAGTTTGGATCTGCTTCGCTATTTTTCATAAAGTTATACCTCTGTTATTTCTGGACCTAATGATTCTCCTTCTGTGGACATACTGAGAGAGATAGAAATGGGCGTGTAGGAAAAGGAATGGACAAATATTTAAACCACGTTGTGAGTAAAATCTCAGAACCAGAGAACGGCTCAAATGCTCTTGAAGGGTGAATTGGACAAATACATAGATGGCATCTTCACACAACAGGACACCATGCAATAGTGAAAATGAGCAACCAGCATCATAGAAAACCCCCAAGGCTTGGGGAACAAGTGACAGAAACCATATGTAAACAACACTGTCTAATGAATCTATTTTAATGAGGTACAAAGAGCGGCAAAGCCAATGGGTAGTGATGGGCATTGGAAGAGTGTGTGAGTCAGGGTCCAGGAAGCAAGTGACCATCCTGCCAGGAGAGGGGCAGCTCAGGCTGAGATCGACTCTTGGAGATATTGTGAGCCACAGTGCACAAAAGTACAGTCTGCCCGGCCCTGCCTGGCCCTGCCCAGCCCTGCCCAGCCCTGCCCGACCCTGCCCGGCCAGGGCGATACAGTCAGGTCATCTATACAGACGGCAGGCCTAGTGGAGTTACAAGCATGCAATCCTCCAGGTTTGTCACTGGTTACAGGGAAGCACTAGCTGTCCCCACCCAGTCAGCGTCCCACTGTGGTTACTCACAGACCGTGCAGGGCCCTTTAAGCTCTGCCCTTCCTGCAAGCTCTCACTTCTGTGTTAAAATTATCTGGCAACTTCCCTTCTCTCAGGATGAGGTACCAGGCTCCCCTGAAGACATTGAAGAGACCCCACCTAGGGCGAGTGTGCATCTCAAAGCGTTAGAGGGGCTGGGGAGGCTTGAGAGCGCCCCAGTAAGTATAGGCAAGGGTGCCTGAAGCAAGGAGAACTGGTGTGGGCTTTTGGAAGCAATCAGGAATGGTGTCCCACATCAGGTTGGAAGCCACTACCCTGGCTTCCTTGTCCTGGGAGGAGCTAACTCTGACAGATGGGGCAACTTGCTGGCCCGGCTCTCGTCTTGAGTTGGGACAAGGGGTGGGGGCTGGGGCAGTGGAGCCAGGGGCACAAAGCTCCCTCTGTGCCAGAGATAAGTCACAGCGCTGCTTCTGTTGTGTTGTCAGAGGGCAAAAATAGACCGAGTCTCTAGACGTTTTCCAGAAGGGGCCTGCTGTGGGGCCCCAGCTAGGAGGCCTTCTGCCTTTAGCCTTGAGAAGAGACTGCACAAGGCTTCCTTCCTTTTCCTCTTCCCTTTCTCCCTTCCCCCGCCCCCAACTCCTCTTTTCCTCTACCTATCCTCTTCCTCCTTCTCCTCTTTCCCCCTTTCCCTTCTCCTTTCCCTTTGATGGTCCAGGCTTTTTCTCCCCAGAGGCACAAGGATAGGAAAGGGCTCTAGACGAGCCTGTCTGTCTTTCCATGAAGTCCCCAAGAGAAGGAATCAACAATCATCCTCATGGGACTTCACTGATGGTACTTCCTGGGCTGCAAGGTCACAGAACCCAGGACTCGCTCATGACTGGGATCTGTAATAGTGTGGGCTCAGTCAGGAGAGAGAATCAGGTAGATGCACTGGCCTCCTCTGAGGTACCCCCTCTGTTCACACAGGAGCCTAGGCCAAGAGCTGGACCCAGAGGCTGCTAGTGAGTGGCCTCCCAAACCTGAGGCTCTCTTGAAACACTTGCTACTATAGGCCATGGTCAATGAAGAGGCCTGACAGGCGCCCCAAAGGCTTCCTGGGACATGCAGGTGAGTGGAGGGCTGTAAGCAGCTTGATGTCCTAGCAAACTGTCCACTTTCTACATGGGGCCATTTCCAACCCTGTCCCTTCCTGGATATCTCATCTAGGGAGGTATGCCCTGCACTAGCTCACGACATCCATTCACCAAGCACACTTGTGGGAGTTCATTCCACCAACAGCTTTTGGGGTACCGGCCTCAGGGCACAGCCTGAGGTGCTACGTGGGGACCAATAAGCTGGAGGAAGAAGTGTGCTGGCTCTGTTGCTCTGGCTCTTGCTTGGCGTGAGGGGAGACCCAGACGGCGGAGGGGCAGGAGAGGCAGCGCGGGATCAGCCGCAGCTTCAGCCATTTTCTGTATTGTGTATTCACCCTTTTTCATTGCAACCCTTAGTAAATCATTTTTGATTACCTCTGTGAGCTCATGCATCACATGCTTGGCTCCCTCTCGTGTGCTGGGCACAAGAGGGAGCAGAGGGGCCTAACACATTGCCTTCAGACATAATTACGTCAGAAGGTGCAGGAGGCAGATCTGTTTCGGTATGTCCCAGTCACAGACAGACTGGGGAGATTGGCTGCGTACCTGGAGAGAGGTATGGTATGAAGTCATGGTGAGAGTCAAGAACTCTGGTGTCATAGTGGTCCTCACTTAGTCCAGAGGGAGGGACAGGTCAAAGCTCCCACGGGACTTCCCAGAGAGCGCCAGGTTTTCAACAGGTGGGCATTCCCACCATGTCTGGGTCCTTGATAGTGTGGCCCCAGTCACAGGCCATTAAAGCCTGAAGTCTACTGTGAGGGATGGAGCCCTCACACAGCTGGGAAAGAACCGAGGTCGGGTCGGGGACACAGATGGCTCAGGAGCATATAGTTCAGCCACATCCCCCCTCGTTTGCCATCCTCAGGAGACTGGAGGAGTCTGGGAATTTGAGGCATGGTGAGGGCCTACCCAGAAACCCTTTGAGATGGAGGTCAACCAGGCCAGGAGGGCAGCCCCACCTGCCTTTGCAGGAGCCCAGATGACAGAATGAGGTAGGAAGATGCTGGCCACACTGCCAGTGTGGCAAGTTCCATTCAGGCAGCTGATAACTAAGGTGACCAAGTAGGGACTGTCTTCCCTGGGCAAGGGGTGGTCTCAGGGTGCCTCAGTTGGTAGACCCCTGAGAGCACCCAGTTGAAGGAACAAGGGGAGGGACTGGTTTCCTCCACGGTGACACCATTCTGCATTGTCTCCTTTTGCTCTCAAGCTGCCTAGGGCTGTTTGCTCTGACCTGGGCCAACTCCTTGGCCTTCTGTGAATTCTTGCAGTCCTGGGTGCCAGGTAACTCCGCAGGGGTTGAGGAGGCGTGGCTAGACCACCAGGCAGAGAGTGGGCTTCAATCCTCACGGTAGACTTCCGGCTTTAATGGGCTGTGATTGGGGTCACACTATCAAGGACTCAGACATGGTGGGGACGCTAGGTTGAGAACCTAGCGCACTACCCACCACCAGGAGGCTTCAGGGCCTGAGTGTGGGGCAGGAAGAGACCCAGACAGAGCCAGGTGAGGCAGTTTCGTGCACTGCTACTTTCACCCACAGGAGCTACAGAACTGAGCTGAGGGATAGGGCTGCCAGACTCCCCTCAGGCCTGCGAATGCTTCTGTCTTCTGTCCTTACTCGCTTTGACCCCACAGCCTGTATCCCGATATATTTATGTTCTCTCCTGTAGTGCATTTCAGAGGTGGATGTAAAGAAAATTCTGGTCTTTTAAAATAGATTTCACAAGGGGAGGGAGAGAGGCAGGGATGGATTCACCAGGAGATTGCTTTAAAATAGGCCAGTGTGCACCTCGGGTGTTTGCCTTTGGTGCCAGCTCCAAGGACAGCCCTTTCTGAGAAGGCCGCATGCTATTTCTATGCCGTTGACTCTCAAACCTGAGGGGAACTTGGTCTAATAATGATACTCGTGGTTGGAGGTGTATGTGGAGGAGAAAGAGAGAGAGAGAAAGAGAGAAAGAGAGAGAGAGAGAGAACATTGAGGCTGGAATGTTCCCGAATTGCTCTCAAATGCTCTTGAGTTATCATGAGTCATGAGTGAGCAGGCATAGTGTGAGCTCTCTGAAGCTGACCAGGGAGTGGCCTCTGTGATGG